ATGATATAAATAAAAACATAATTAGTGAGTAGCCTATGTGTTCTACATGTATGCCAAATATTATCAAGATCCATGCAATCGTTCTGCAGATACCTTCTTACTAACATCCATCAATCTAAACATTCGCATTTATAATATAAGTAAGTAATAATAATAAAACATAACAAAAATGGCTTCTGAAATTCTAACATACTTCCTTTTGTGCTCCAAACAATGTAGTATAAATCTGTGTTAAGCAGATTGTTGACTAATCTTTATATATATAATTCTTCTGTGAGTGTATATGTCACTGAACTTCTCTCAAACGACTGAACCGATTTTGATGAAATTTTTTGTGTGTGTTCAAGAGGATCTGGGAATGGTTTAGATTCACAATTTTCATCAAATATTAACTTCATATTAATTTATTCAAATTAAAGACGTGTAGACAGGACAACGTCTGTCGGGTCCGCTAGTATTAATATAAAGAGAAAACGACGTGTGTTCATATTTATAAAGATTAAATTATAATATACTAAATATCTTATTAAATCTATTACTTTTATGAGGTTATAAAAAACGCTTCTGTTACTCTGCTCTTTCGCACCTACCGCGCATAACCTTTACATTATAATTTTATTATGTTGGCTATACTGCAAGTTACATTGTACCAACTTAACAACATCTTAAACCCATTACCTTTAAAGCTATACCTGTATTTAGGCACTGTAAATCTACCTTTAACAGTACTAAAACATCCTTTCCAATACAAGCTAATAACAACTTTATAGCTTTGGGAATAATGCTTAAAATCGCTTTAAATAACTTTGTGTTAACATATCATTTGTATGGATATTATTGTAAAGTTTCGTTGTTCAAATATTGCATTTAAAATGATGTTAAATTTGTAATTTATATGTTGTTCGTTCGCACATGGGATGCTAATGATTGGGTACTTGTGCTTTAGGTTTGTGACACATTGCATGGGTACTAATAGTGCTAGAGACTGGATATACATATATATAAAAGAAAGTAGTGTTAGTTACACTATATATAACTCAAGAACGACTTTACCGACATGCCTGAAAATTGGTGAGGAGGTAGCTTAGAGTCATGGGACGGACATAGGATACTATTTTTTTTTTCAAATTTATGCCTTCAAGAGCTGCTTTTTATTTAACTTATCTATATATTAAGATTTTTTATATGTCCACGCGGACGGGTCGCGGGCGACAGCTAGTAAAATATAAATATTGTCTTAATTTATTTATAGTTTATTATAAACTATCTGTCACCTGCGACTCCGTCCGCGTGGATATATAAAAAACTTAATTAGTGTAGCCCACCCATCCATCCATCCATCCACATCACATCCATCTAAACATTCGCATTTATAATATTACTATCTTAAAAGTATCTCCAGAACGGTTCCATGCATCTTGCTGAAATTTGGCATAGATCATGGAAGAACCCATAGGCTACTAATCAAGTATTTTTTTAATTTCGCGCTGACGGAGTCGCGGGCAACTAATATTAGTATGATCATAAGTCAGACAAACAAAAGTACTTACAACTAACACATTGCGAAACGCACCCATAGTGTATCACTACCTTTATAACATCGTAAACAAAAATTGCAGGTGTAAAAACAGATGCTCTATTGTTCATAGAAAATAGCACTTTATAATAATATACATAAAGTTGAATTTACATAAACTATATTAACGTTATTTCATTGTAATAAATATAAATAAACGTTGTAACAGACAGACGGACGGATAAATCATTGCAATGTGTTAAACATCGTATTAAGACTACATTTATTTATGTTAATTATAAAAATATGATAATTAACTTAATAACATGAAACGAAGTACGTTATTTGTTAAAAAAAACACAACGTAATAAAACTTTTAATTTATCAGATAACTGAGTTTCCATTGCCGGAACACGTTTGCAAAATACGTATGTGGGAGTCACAGCCGGAGAATACTTTTTCAAATAAAACATAGTCTTCTTTAACTCATATATTTCCTTTAGAATTGTAAACAACAACTTTTTCAAAAACACCGCTGTTACATTGTCTTTTCCATTACCCGAATGCCAGAAAAACATGGCCGTCATTCAGACGAGCAATTAAAATACTTTTAATTTACAATAACGAAATACCGTCAGATAATTAACATGATAAGTTGAATACTTCTATTTTATATTTGAGAATCAAATATTTAAATAATCTTTTGGATGTTAATACAAATCATTAATGTTGTTATATTAAATAAACAAAAGTGTTATTGACTTATAGCATAGACTAAATAACGTTTTAGGTTAAGGAATTACAGAATATATGAAATGGCTTACACGTATTTCTTTAATCACAACAAAGGATATGAACAGACTTTGGTACCGATCGAGAAGACCAAAAAAGAATATACTCTTTGTTGCACGTATTACTTATGCTAAAAATAGATTTCCAAATATTAAAAATAACTACTAATATTATAAATGTGAAAGTTTGGATGAAATCCATTAAACCAATCCATCCAATGCAAAACAAATTTAACTGTTTGAATGTTTGTCACAGTTATAAATTAAAGTCTGTAGTCTTACTAATATTATAAATACGAATGTTTGGATGTATGTTTGTTAGAAGATATCTCCAGATTTACATGGATCTCGCTGTAATTTGGCATAGATAGATAGATAGATGGAAGACCACATAGGCTACCGATTACGTTTTTTATAATACATACGCACGGAAGACGCACAGGCGATAGCTACTTATAAATACAATGAAATAAATACTCTGTTTTTACGCTGCAGAAATTGCAGACAAATAGCTACTTTATCCATAAGTTCATGGTTCGAAAATCACCCATTTCCACGCACGATTAACTATAACATAAAGGGTGATATAGGATATGACTAAATTGATATTTGATGTCGATATATCGCTAATGTACCGTACAGACTAATCTAATTTGGAATGGGGAATCCCCCTCTATAACCTAAGGGTTTACTTTGTTTACATTCAATTTCAATACCAACTTTTGTCTCTTTCTATCGCATTTGTCCTTGTCTTTTTATATTGACACGAATTCGTGGTTTATTTCTATCATCACTGATACATAGACTGGCTATAAGAGGCAGTATTTTGTGCCTATTTGATTTAGATTGATAGGGTAGGCTCCGAGTCACTAGGTGGGGACGTATAGTGAGCTGATGATGATGGTATTAAAAATAACAATCGTTGCTTCTTGAAAGCCTTATAATAGTTTTCTTAGATCGACTTATTACTTATTTTAGGCCTTATTTTAGTTACTCTAGGATGTAAATGGTATGGGGATTTGTCGGAAGATGGGAGTAAAAAGGGTAAATATTCTCTATATGTGCATCTATTCCTCTGTCGAGTAAAGGTTGCATCTTCAATTGCACGATCGCTTCGATTTTCATCGAAAAAAATATCGTTTCTACATACATTTTCTATTAAATTTCATATCATAATATTACAATTTGCTCGCTGTACGAATGTTCAGATTGTAAGAAATTGCCTTCTATTAAATCGATTTATTTATTTTCCCGTATATAATCATGTTATAAATTATATTTCACGTATAAAACCGTTATCGGTGAAATGAAACTGCGTATGCGCAGATTATTTTCAATATTACATGTGTTATAATTATTTATATTAAAATATGACGATAAAAATGTACAAATACTTCTTACTAATATAAATGCGAATGTTTAGATGGATTTTTGTTAGATATCTCTAGAACGGCTCAACAAATCTTGATGAAATTATATTAAAGTTTCATGAGACATTATATTAAACTGATATAGAAACGGCTAAACACTCACGTATATTCGTCCGGTGACTCAGCGAGCGACGGGCCGCGTCCGCGAAATAATACCAGTACCACTCATCCTGATTAAGGGTCCCCGATGGGCTCGAAACTAGTCGGTGCCGCCACCGGACGAATATACGTGAGTGTTAAGCCGTTTCTATATCAGTTTAAATCTTGATGAAATTTAAAATAGATGTGGAATATAATCTGGTAGAAAACATAAACTACTTATTAAGTTGCTTTTAATTCATCACGAACGAAGTCTTAGGTACTAAATGCTTGTTCATTTTGTTAATCGAATTTACTGAAGAATTTTAAATGGTGTTTAGAAATTAATTTTTAATTTGAATGTCCAGCTTAGTCTTGCTGAAAAGACTGAGAGATAGGCGTTCTTTTCATCATCATCATCAACCTGCCCTTATCCCTTTCGAGGGTCCGCACAGTATGTATTACTCCTCCATACATCTCTATCAGCCGTCATATCCGAATCTACCCCCTTCTTACGCATATCCTCTTTCACACAGTCATTCCATACCTTTTTTTGGTCTTCCCCTACCCTTCGATAGGCGTTCTTTTGTCGAAAGCAATTATTAAAAAAAAAATCTTACGACAATTCAAACTATAATATGAATACATAGCAATAATGTTCTTCATGAATTAACTTAAAGGAAACAAATAGCTTACTATGCAATTTGCCCCTTTGCCAACATTTCGTATTTTTGCATTTAGTATAATTTTTCAAAGCCGACAGAGACTTGAATAGATTTCACGAGCCATTACGTCTGTGACAAATAGCGTAACAAGATGGCGGATGCTTTTTTACGCGGGAAAAGCTTTTGTTAGCGGAAAATTGTCTATGGTTTTCGTTCAATTGTGTTATCGAGGGGATGATTTTTAGCAAAGGGTGACATTCTTTTGTTATTTTTGATGGCACATTATGTTTATAAAGTTTATATTAAACCTTTATGTATTGTTTATTATGTAATCCTTTATGTATTATAGGAAGTTTATATGGATGTTTGTTAGAAGATATCTCCAGAACGGCTGAAGGGATTCCATAGAAATTTGACATATATATAGAACATAGTTTGTAAGAACACATGGACTACTATTTACGGTTTTTTTTTGCTAAATTCAAACGATCAATTCTAAATAAAAATCTTTTGTTCCCAGGTGAAAGTATGGTTCCAAAACAGAAGAACGAAACATAAAAGAATGCAGCAAGAAGAGGAAGCTAAAACTGGCACCAAATCTGGTTCATCCGGCACGAAACCTGATGATGGCAGTCAGTTTAATAACTCTTATGATGAAGACGAAGAACTTATAGATATGGATATGGATGAACTTAGTGAGAGTGAAAATGAAACGTAGATAACAGTGATACATAAGACATTGGTGTAAATAGTTTTTATTACATAATTATAGGCAAATGATTCTTATTTATTTCAATAGTAATGTATTAAGACATTTAGTGTCATGTAAAATGTCAAATTAAGTCATTCCTTATTTATCAATCGTAATTAAAAGCGTCAATAGCCTATTAGTTAAGGGTACGGATTTCCGTTCACGAGGTCTGGGGTTCGAATCCCGTCATTCGACTATTGTAAGCCATATCCTAGCACAAGCCTAGAGTTTAGTTGGAATGGTAAAAGAGATATTAGTAAATTTACTAAAAAATCTGCTAATATTTTAATTAAAAAACTGTTACTGCGATGTCTCCAATATAAAATATTCTTAGTAATATTATAAATGCGAATGTTTAGATGGATGTTTGTTTGAAGATATCAACTAGAACGGCTCAACGGATCTTGATGAAATTTGGCATAGTTGTAGGACATATTCTGGAAGACCATATAAGTACTTATTGCGATTATTCCAATTTCGTGCGGACGTAGTCGCGGACTACCGCTAGTAATATTATAAATGCGAAAGTTTAGGTGGATGTTTGTTTGAAGGTATCTCCAGAACGGCTCAACGGATCTCGGTGAAATTTTTCATATATAAAGAACATAGTCTGGAAGAACACATTTACTCTTAAACGAGACTTATGCTATGTGCCATCAGCGCTCGGCCACCTCAAGCCCGGTGAAGTTGTAAATGCCTTCTCAAGGCAAACAGTGACAACTCAGTCACAAAAAAAACACATAGGCTACTTATTAACTTTTTTTTTAATTCCTCGCGGACGTTGTCGCGGGCCACAGCTAGTGTATTCATAAATAATTCAATCATTAATTTGACTCAATTCATAAAGCGCTCATTCATTAAATCCTAAACAAGTAACCGTGTCATTAAATTAACGGTATTCAAAATGGCGTCAGAACGACTCTTGTTAGCGCGTCACGAATTAGATAACAAAATTGGGGGCCTATTATTATAGTTTGGGGGGTATTAAATTAATTAAAACTGCCTTCTTTGATGCGTTCCTCTAGTGATGTGGGTATAATTAGACGGTTTGATTTTAAACGTTGATAGGATATGGTTTTGGAGCTGTCAACGTTAGAAAGAGACAGCTATATGATAGGTTATAAGAGTGAGCGAGAGGGATGTATTTGAAAAGTCTATGGTTAGCGTCGTTTGTGGGCTGTTATTAAGAGATGTGTATAGTTCGGTATCAGGCGCTTGGCATCTTAGTCGGTAATTGCTCGCGACGAAATCAAATTGTTTTTAAACTGTTGACGATTGTTCCGGACGGCTATTTGTCTATGGTGTCCGGTATTAACGATTATGATCTCACGTTCTTATTTCGTTTTGACATGTATTGTGATATTGTTTCACGAAGTAATTTAACAATGTCAAAATATACGAACGCGTAGATAATTTTGATTGTATATCAGTTCTTTTTAATATAATTATTTAAATAAATCTCTTATATTATATTTTTTATGATATAAATATTATGATAACCAGTTCACTTTATTTCCTACCAAATTACTATCCGCAATTACTACACTGGCAACACCACCACCCATGTGTCAACGCGGAAACGTCAAACGCCATTAAAGTTTCATTTTTAATTAGTGGCCAGCATTAAGCGGCCATTGTTAAATTAATCGTTTAATTTGACGTCGCGGGAGCGTGACAAGCGGCCGTGTTAACACAATAACTTGTCCAGAAAAGCCAAGGCATTGTTTGTTATTCTTAAAATCGACTAATTGATGAATTTCTTGTTTAATATCGATTTTATTTTTACTTGGTATGGAATTAAAGAATTGTTGTACGAGCGACGGTTGTTCAATGGTTAAACATTTGATTTGTAATCTGCAGAACCTGGGTCGAATCCCGTCATGTACTAATGTGTTTTTTGATTTACATATGTACATCTATCCTAATTTCTTACGGTTGAGGATCATCATCAGAACATCGTGATGTAACCTGCACATATCTGATATTAATTCAAAGATATATGTAAAATTAACTCGTAGTGGGTCTGAGTTGACTATGGCCTAGTCACTCCTAACTTATGATAGGCTCTAGTCCCTTAGCTGGGACGTATGATGATGATAAAATTGACGTTTGTGCGTACGACTACGATCATTGGTTATGACGTCATCGGAGTTGGGTCTCTTGTTATTGAACTGTAATTAAAAAAAACAAGTAGAGTCTTTATTTATTTTAAAGATTCTAATACAAAGTAAGATATTATTCATTTTATTATGTAAGTTAACTTACATATAAAAACACGGAGGAGGGACAAACTAGCGGTCGCCTGAGATTCTGTCCGCGCGGAATAAAAAACAGACATTGTTAGTAGTGCTTACTTATGTGTTCTTCCAGACTATTGTTAGAAAGAAAATCCGACACTGTGCTGATGTACTAGCGCAACACTAGCTTTACTAAAATGTCTATGTCCCCTCACTATTCATTCTGACACTGGTACCGAAAGCGCGCCATTCGCGCCAAATGATTCAAACTAATAAAGTCTAAAATTGTCTATGCCAAATTTCATCGGGAACCAATCAGCTGTTCCAGAGATATCTTCTTACAAACATCCATCCATCTAAACATTCACATTTATAATATTAGTAAGAAGTAAATCTTTTAGATGTATAATTCCGTTCACTTGTGGCTTGATGTTAAATACAGTCGTGTGTTCTTAAGTACAGTCTTGCGCAAAAGTGTTTTGCGACGTTACCTATCCGCTAATGAAACCTAGATTCCATTTTCAGCTCAATTAACTTTTGTATCGATAGATTTTGTTCATTAACTGTTTCCGATTAGCGGCCATGTCGACTTTTACGATCTATTCTTTGCAAGTTGACTTTTTAATTACTTACATCTTGGTATTAATTTGCTGATTAGGTATTATTTGTTTATTGCAGTCATTGGTGTTGCCTTCATAGTTACATAGGAGACTTTGACATTTGGATTGTCAAAAATGAGATGTCAAAGTTTGCCCTTTACAGTACAGTCAAAAAACTTAATTATATCCTTGCCTAACCTGGAACTAATAGTCTATGATACTGATTTATTTATCTTTTTTCGTTTTTATCTTTAAAGATAAGATGTGTTTAGCCAAAAATGTTACATGGATCACTTTAGTTCCAGATTCCAGGTCCAGTTGATTATCTATAATTAGGGAAAAGGTTTCTTTTTGTCTGTAAAGTTAAAAAAAACTTATATCGTAGTTTTTCTTTGTACCTTCATAAGACATTTAAAATATGTAAAAAATTTTAGAAATTCAAATCCGACTGTTCCGAGCGTAATTAATCTTACTAATATTATAAATGCGATGTATGGATGGATGTTAAAAGGTATCTCCAGAACGGCTGCATGGATCTTGCTGAATGTCATAGATGTTGAACTCGGTCTGGACACAGGCTACTAATTAATATCTTATATCCACGCGGACGGAGTCGCTGGCGACAGCTAGTTATATAAACTAAATCGCTCAAACGTAGTTGTATAAAGTCAGTTCCTTTAGGATAAAGCGAATTAGATATACATTTTGCATCTTGTATTACTAATTAATATAGTTAACTAACTATGAGTTTCACAAATAAGGTTGTAAAGAAAGTACTGTCAGCGGGAAAAGAAAAAAAAATTAAGAGAAAAAAATCATCTCTTGAGAACATACTCTAAGAATTACTCATTTCATTTGTTGTTTCAATTAGCGTTGCCAGGAGTCCGGATAAAGCCGGACATATGTAGAGTTTTGATTGTATGTCCGGTCAAAATTAACGGTGTCTGGGTTGTCCGGCTTTTGTTACGTTACCTATTAATACTGAGAGAAAATCCTTAATAATGTCCGGCCAAACTGACTAATCTGTCCGGCTATTATGTTTAGCGACCTGGCAACTGCAATCGCATAGTGCGTTAGGAACCATAGCTAATTTCACACAAGGGTACAATATAGTACTATTTGCAGTAAATCACAAATATTTATGACAATTGCTTTTCAAAATACACTAAAAAGTTTATACTAATTTTGACATAATTGGCGTTGACGATACCCAAGCAATTGTTATAAAAGTTGGTGCTGATAACGTAATGTACTGTCTGGATGTTGTACGTTCACACAGCAAAGAAAAGTGCCACATGTTCCTGCCCTCGTGTGAAATAAGTACAGTTCGATCAGCGATCGTAGTTTGTTTATACACTATAGTATATTTCCCAATGAAAAAAGGCTAATATTCCTACGTAAATAATCGTAAGTTTGTTAAGTAAATGTTAAAAACTTTCGTCACTACAGCTTGTAAATTCAACATTAACGACAGATTTTTCTTATCAGTTCAACATGAATATTAATTAAACTTTTGTTCTATAGCCTTTTGCAGGCATTGACTTGGTCCAGTTTTTTCCACTTCAGTCCATCTCTGGCTACATTGTACAAATGATAAAATTTTGAGGTATGATTATTTACGTAGGGGCCGTATTTCGTGAATGTCAAAATCTTATATATAAAATTCTCGTGTCACAATTTTCGTTCCCATACTCCTTCGAAACGGCTTGACCGATTCTCATGAAATTTTGTGAGCATATTGAGTAGGTCTGACAATCGACCAACATCTATTTTTAATACCGCGCGGACGGAGTCGAGGGCGACAGATAATGTAAATATAGATTTCCTGGACTTTCTAAGGCATCTGCATTGTTAGTACAATTAAAAATCTATGTGAAGATTAAGTTAGAAATTAATTATATTTTGCCTAATACAGGATTTATTTGACTTTATTTTTCTATTACAAAAAATATCCAAAACAAAATAGTATTTCTAATAATTATCAAATTCACTTTAGAAATTAAAAACTATTGTGTTACTAACATGTTATAAAATGGAAGCTGGATAACCGAGAGTTGATAACAGAGTTGAGAGAGGAAAGCGGTTTCTCTTACCTGAGTTTCTCGCTTATGTAGTTCGTCCGACCGAACAATGACTCGCTTATAGTTTTCTCTTTTATCCAGTTTTAACTGTATTTACTTATTTACTAATATATGTTTTACATATTTTTAAAGGTTCTCTAAATACATATTTATGTGTAAAATTTCGCCAAACTGTAATTTAATATGTCAAATGTAAAATACTAAATTAAAATACAGTAAAATCTTTTTGTAATATCAAAAAAAATATTTAATACAATAAAAGATTAAAAATT